TTCATAATGAATATTTTACTACACTTTACTTAATTTTATAATTTAATAAAGCAAATACATCTCATTCTTATACATTTTTTGTAAAACTTAAGAAAATAAATGTATACAGAATAACAAATAGCTAATTAATGATAATATAATTGTCTTATATCTTAATTACGTATTAGTACGTAATTATTAATAACAATTATAATGTAAAAAATAAACAATAACTAATAATAATCTTCATAACAACTTTTTATCTCTAATCAAGTAGTTGTCTTTTCTATGTATCATTACGTCTATTAGACGACACCAAGATTCAATTGTGTAAGAACCCAGCTTCCCCAAATAACCAACGAAAACAACACAGATGGCGCTATTAAAACATTAGTTAACCAGTATATGGTTTTATACGCGAAATAACCATGACCATAAAAATAGTTTTATTTAAATGTGTACTACTCGCGTGTAATAGACAATACTTAATTCAGACCCTGTTAACTCTATAAAATATTTTCTTAACAGAGTTTTCGTATACTAAACATTAATATTAATATACTTAACGCACGAAGGAGTATATAAAAAACGTAATTCCCGGGTGTGCGCAACGAATCGATCAATGGCCCTTTAGGAAGAGTTCAACGCGTGTAGGCTCTACAAATTTAAAGGCCTTTTACCACATAAGACGTTCTATAGAAAGTACTTATTAATTCTAGAAAAAATATAACGTATATGTAGAGAATAGACTTGTATGTTCTAAATTTAAATCTATCATTGTAACGTTCTAGTTTCTGGCCATATACCTACATATTTCAATAATAAATATGACTCAAGTTTTAATTCCCATCAATTTATTATAATTATTAAAAATTATGTGGAAAATGAAAAAAATATCATCATGTTATTAGTTACTTTATCAATTTCTCATACTAATTAAAACTTTGTTATTTACTATAATAGTACAGAAAATGTTATCAATGAAAAAATATGGAAAATCATTTTTATTTCTACGTAAAAACCAATATAACATACCTACACAATTCGTAATCGTAGAAATATTTTCACATAAAAAAGATACTGTCTGTAGTTTACGCGAGTAGTACACATTTAAATAAAACACTTTAACGGTTTAAAACGCGATATATTAGTTACCGTGGTCACGGGGAGACTAAGGCTGCTGCGAAGCATCCGAAACGTCGGGCCGAAGTTAAAATCATTTTCAAATAAGTTTAACTAATATATCGCGTTTTAAACAGTTAAAGTGTTTTACATAAAAAGATTTTAATTTGACTTAAAAAGAATAATTTAACCCGTGACCAGGGCTGCGTGTGAAATTATTAAAAGTGTTTTCTTTAAATAATTTTCACAGTTTAAAGAGCCAAATATAATAACACAGAAATTAATTTTAACTGCGGCCCGACGTTTCGGTTGCTTCGTCTGTCTCCCCTTAGTTAAAATAATGTCTGAAATTTATTAAAAGAGAAAGAGATATTTGATTAGAAATTACATTGTTGTCATTTACTGATACCCTTTTGTAATCTACATAATAATGATCTCTCATTATTGCTATTGCTTCTGGGAACGATTATTTAAAAAAATAAACAAAACTTAAACGGTTAATCTTGATAAGGTATGGTGTATTTGTCCACCAGAGCCTCGTTCCTTTTTAAGGCTTATCTTAGATACCGTTTGTTTGAACAATCGCTGCGTGGATTACGTTCACGCACCTAGCCGCTACTGTGGGTAATTGCGAAAGTTCGCTTGAAGCCTTTTTAAGTAACAAAAGGCAATTTTATGTTTTGTCTGAACAAAGTCGTGTTCGAGTACTTACAAGTAGCTGTTAAGAGCATCTATTCTTTTAACTTGTTAATTTATGGGGATCGCCTCTCACTAGACATGATAGAAGTAATTAGTATTTTTGATACATACGGTTTGAAACACGAAACTGTGACTCCCCCTAAATATAGCTATTTAAGTATTCGGTATTCATTAAAAAATAATGGAACAAACATATTTCGAAATTTAAATCGTTAAAGGAGATTTATTTAGTTTTGTATTTATTGAAACAGTTTTATAAAAGGTTTATAACATTGTAACGAAAAGTAGCTCCGTAACTTGTAAAGATTTACTTGTTACGGTGTGCAACAAGTAACTTTAAGTAAGTATTAAGTTAAGGAAAGCATGATTAGCGTAAAATATAGACAAAACTAAATTATACGAGTATATTGCTTTAAATGTCTTATTATTAATTTAATACTTACAACTAGAAAAAATCGAAAAAAATGTTTTATTGAGGGAAGGAAATGACATTTAAGTTCCTTGCAGACAAAAGAAGTTACTTAGCAGGCATGCAAAATTATTGGTCGCTTAGAACAAGGAAATTATACTAAGCGATCAATTATTTAGCGAAGGAACTTCCCATTAAAAAGGATGTGGTACTACGTTAGTACGTATATAAAAAATATTTTGTGAAAATCGCTAATTATTAGGTGGTTCACAAATAATAATTAAAATGTTTAACTTCTTATGTTCCCTATATAGCATTACCTAAATTATATTAAACCATGTCTTGCACATGGTGGATGGGTAGTTGGCACAAAGATCCTTTTTGTTTGTCTGATACAATTATTTACGTTACAAAAATGTATACATAAAATAATATAGTTTTATAGTTATTTATTTTCTTATACTATAATATATAAAGCTGAAGAGTTTGTTTGTATGTTTGATCGCGCTAGTCTCAGGAACTACGGTTTGGAATTGAAAAATTATTTTTGTGATGGTTAGAGCATTTATTGATGAAGGCTATAAAACATCGCTCTATCACTTATACAAGCAAATATACAGCGAAAAATGTGGAAAAATTGGGAAAATTATTCATCTTAGAAGGTTTCCAATCCGAACGCTGCGAAAACTGTTCAAGATACCCCAATAATATGTAGACAATAATGATTCCTCTTTAAATGATCTAAAAAAAAGTCTTCGACACTATCTCTTTTACGATTAACTTGCAAGAACGATGGGAATGGACGCAAACTGCCGTACGCAGTTTATAAAGATGAAGATGGGTTTGCAAAAACAAATTTGAATGCTTTGATGCAAAATAACGACTCTCGCGGTCGAAGTCGTACATGATAAATACACAAGCTAATATATGATAAATAGATAACGATTGTACCAGAAGCTTTCTTTAAGAGCTCAACATCAAAACACTACGTACTTTCTCACAAGCGTAAACAATGTTGCATCATAAGTTGGGGCAGAGGCGCGGCGCCGAGCGATCAGCCGACTACTCGAGCCAGCCAAGATTCGGTGGCATTCTGAACGTAGGAATTCATTTAGCTTCGATAAGTGTCCGGTTTCAGTCTGGCACGACGAGCGTTCGTTGCATGTATAGTGTGACCATGTTTTGGTGCTGCTAAAATACAGACAAAAATTACCGTAAATTAAATTTACAGAGTTAAATGTTTTAGTGACAGATATTAATACATAGTGGTGTCAAATTTTAATAAAGGAATTTCGTTAAATTTACAAGCATTGCTCGTGCAGCTTTTAGCATAACATTTTTTTTATTATCTTGATGTAATTAATGTAACTCATTTAGTTCAATACTAAATGAGTGCCAAAAATATAAAGAGATTTATTATATATTTTTTAATTTTTAATATTTAAAAATCTTTTTAGACTATGCATATAGGTTATAGCACAACAATATACATGATTAGACAGACGTTTACACTAGGTATAATTTACTAATATTAAACTTATTGAAACCGTTAAAGTGTTTTATTTAAATGTGTACTACTCGCGTAAACTATAGACAGTATTAAATATTAAACTTAACTAAACTATACTACAATACTTAAAACTATACTAATATTATAGAGTTCGTGCGAAGAGAGATAGCGCGTTCAAAATCTCCATTGAAAAATGATTTTTGTGTTGGATAGACTATTTTCTAGGAAGGATTTTAGGTTATATATAACATCATCCTGCAACAAATACATGGAAAACACGGGGGAAGTTATTTATACTTATTTGTGGGTTCAAGATATCGAAAAGGAAATATTTATTTAATGGATCTAAAAATAATTACGACAGTATATGTCTATCTTTTAAGAATAACTCCCAATACGAAAGTAAAATAATGTATAATGCTGTGAAAAGATAATGATGCCCAAAATATCTATTCTACGCGGGCGAAGTCGCTGGCACAGCTAGTATATATATTTTGTTTTAGTTGGCCAAGCTTAAACGTTTGAGACATTGTTTTGTATAAAACGCAATATGCCACAGAACATAGTATGACAAGGGCCTTAATTTTTATTACGTCTATTTAATGCTGTTTTCCCAGGTGACAACAAGCATGGCAACCCTATAGCTATATTTATTCATGTATCGGACGGGCGCAGGTTCTATGCGCGGGTGGAGGGGAAGTGCGGGCGGGGATATGCTTACTACGTGATTAATCCGCGTCCCCCCCTCCCGTCGCGCCCAGTCGAGCCACGCCGTACTCACCGGGTTTCCTCGTCCCCGCGTCGCAGCTCACGGCCACTAACTACGCACGGTCCTCGTAGCTGTTTTGAAAAGTAAGCGCTTTTGGCGCTGTATTTTATGATTTTTTTAAGAAATATATTTTATTTTTTATTTTATGTAGCATACCTTAATCTTCAGAGGACGGCAATGAAGAAGTGTCTAATTTTTAAGGAAGTAAATACATAGATAAATATGCAATAAATAATTAGAATTTTTCATGTTTATTAAGTTATGTTCCTTAAGCATGGGCAATAATAGCAACTTTGGTATATTTCTGCTTTGTAACTGAGACATTTCATATACTAGAAATAATATATAAGTATTTGTAAAGTCTACAGTAATGCTACTAAAAATATTTTAAAATCTGATTTTCATATTACTCCCGCGTAATAAAAAAATGATATACTATTCTTTTACTGCTCAATCTTTCGTTAAAGATTAACTTTTAGTTTTGCTATTAGCTCTACAATTTGGACAACTTGTTACAGCGACATAACGTTGAAAATGTTATCAATGCGTTCGTACTTTTTCAGCGCACTTCTATTCCAAGAGTCAATGGCTGTGTAGTGCCGAACACCAGTCGCGCTGCAACCAGCACCGTTGTCGCATCTCGTCCGCGTTAAAAGCCGGTCCATAATATCATTCATGCTAATCTCTGCCCGCTGATTTTCCTGCTGGGCGACCGCAGTACGGCGATATCGCGAGTGTCGAATGCTAGTGGACGTTACGTGTATTTTTCCATTGGAATCCAAACTCGCCCGCAAAACCAGTTTGCAGTGCGGACGGCGCCTTCGGATGAGATTTGAGCCGTGACCCGCGCTGTGATGCTGCGCCCGTGACCGTCTTACGACAGTACCACGAAACGTAAGGACCAACTTCATTACGTACTAAACGTTAGGATATAACAGCTGGCGCTGAACGCCTATTTGCTTGGTGATACGATTGGATTTTATTTTCGTCTGCGCCTGTGTGTGTGTGTAGTGGGTGAGTGTGCGTCACGTTTTGTATTCACTCGCCGAGACGTCTCTGGGCTCCGTTTCATCAAACCAATGATAATTAACAGACAATCTGATACTGAGCCGGAGTTCTGTGTCTACGATATTTTTGAGTTTTCACTTGTTGAGCACACTACAGCTGACAACTCTATATTTATCCCTGAGCTTTGCTTATCTCGAATGATAAGGAAGATCAGAAAACGATGGCATTAAATCAATCGGTGTTATACGTCAGATCCATTTATTGTTTTCCATTTTTGATTCGTAGATCCGTGTTCCATTTTACTCTTAGTAACTACACAAGTGTTCAAAATCCGTAATCCGTAATTACACTTTTAACTGTTAAAATCGTGAAACTTATCAGTTCATTTGGGAGTGGATGTTGCGGATCGAGTTTTGCTATACGATGTGTTATCGGCGCATACATTTTTACACGAGCCACGCGTTTATTCTGCGTCTATACTGTAACTGGTTGTGTACATACGATGATAGGTACCGCGTTGACGTCAAAATATTTACAAGTTCTAATCAAAAAGATTAATTTTGACAACACTAATCGGCTTTCGATAAAATAGTTGTTTACGCTTACTTAGTCCCCATTCCAACCTTCGAGACGTCCTTTCGTATTTTATCTACAAAGGAACATTACTTGACCTACCATTGGCGAAAACAATTGAAAAAAATTTGCATTCATGTGGGTTGCTCGCGAATTGTATACCTACTACTACATTCACACGTAACCTTTAACGTGTATGAAACACTTCAAATATTTTATAGTACCTAATACTAGTACAATTACCCCTACATGGGACATGGGGGCAGTAGAATTGACGTACCGATTTTAAATGAGTAACGGAAAAAGAGTAAATTAATAAAACATAAGTGCTGTAGCTTACGCTAGTAGTACACATTTAACGGTTTCAAACGTGAAATGTTAACTTATTTACTATTTATTTTAACTACGGCCCATCGTTTCTGATGCTCTTAGTTCTCGTGTATTAAAGTTAATTGTAAATGAGTCAGCTAATGTATTTCGTTGTAAACCGTTAAAAGTGTTTTATCTGAATTAATTAATATATATATATCGATGTATTTTTTCAACTTTAATAGGTATTTCAGGATAGGCTACGTGTTCTTTGAAATATAATAACTTTTTATAGTCGTTGTTCACTTAACTAAAATCGAATTAGACAAACATCTGACAACGCTGTGGGTTTACATACCTGTATATGTATTTGTGTCTAATAGTCAAGTTTGTTAGAGCGGAATTTATGTTTTGCATGGAATCAAATTCGCACTTAACTCATTTAACCATTCAACCAAAGAGACGATGTATATCAATATGACTATCGCTACATAGATGTTACAAATTTGATGGCCTAAAACTGAGTAATTACGCAAGCTTTTAAAATTAGACCAACGAGGAAAAGTACTGTGCGCTGTGCCGAACGCAGCGTATAGCTGATAAACTTTGATCCTGTCCTACACGAGATTCATTTAATATTATTAACATAGTAATACACTTGTTTGTTACATATATATTTCACGATTATCGACAAAGTAATTAGGACAACGCTCTCGCAAACGTTTGAAGATAACTTCTCGTGACTAATTTAAATATTATATTTTTCGGCGTAACGATAGCAAATTAAGGAACTAATTAAATAAGGCATTATAACTGCACAATTTTAAGTTTTAGTAAGACAAAGTTCATTAACACTGTCTTATCTTGTTTGGGTGATAGTACTCAAACTGAGTTACCAACTTTCTTATCAAAACACAAAAACAGTTTTTGACGGCCTCCTTGGTCTAATTGTAGCAATGTATGTTTAATGATCACTGGGTCGTGGGTTCGATCCCCACCAGGTCCCAAAAATTCAAATTTTTCATTTTATATTTTTTCTGAAACGTGCTGGACTTCGTCTGGAAACCTGGATATTAAATGTGTGGTAGGAATATAGAAATTCCGTCCGAGTCACGAACGAAACGAGGCGTGACGATTAGTCGCGTTTCGGTTTCAGTCTGTGGATTTCCAAATATCCAAATCCATAATAGCTCGACAGCGCAGTTGGGCAGGACTTGAACCGGCATCCACATCTCTCCGTGCTGTTTTTCTAACCAAATGGGCTACCCCTACACATCATCATCGAATTTTTTCAACCTAATGACACATGCACCTCTCGCGCAATGTAATTTCAATTCGAATTTTAATGTATATACCGCTATCATGTGCAATAACAGATGTAAGTTATTAATAGTAACCTTTTATGTTAGATCAAGTTCGCCTAAGCTTATTTAGTAAGCGATACCTTGGCACACAATAATCTATATTCAGCTCCAAATTAGGCAGTCTACCGTGACGTAAGCATGTGTTATGTAATTATTGCCAGTCCAGCTCACACGACCTTCAGCGTTGTATTGAAGAAGAATAATTTCATTACATAATTAATAGTTTATACCCTTGACATATTACGAATATAGATCTCATAATGTGTCCACGAGAACTATTTCCATTTTCGACTTGTGATTGTTAATTTAGTTTATATTTATCGCAACAAATGATAAATTCGATTAAATTTTAAGTAGACGCCTTTTTGTTAACTGGAATTCAAATTCCCTTTGTAATATTATTTATGAAAACAGCTAACGAATAAAAAATATCATTATAATTTATACAATTGCTAAAAACGTTCGAAAAAAGATTATTGTCTTAAAAATATATTTAGTTAAAGTTATCTTTACAAAACTATATTTGAACAATGTAAAAGTTCCCATCGTAAATAGCAGTGTAAGCTGACAATTACTGTCTTAAGCATTTTTCACTAACTTTTTAGACTTTAAAGCAGTTTAAACGTGAATTAAAATAAGGTTATGATTTAACTGCTATCCGACGTTTCACATGCTTTCCATGGTTACTTACTCTTGTGTTTGCATAACTTATTTGCGTATCAAACTATAAATATATATACATGTATATGTCTCAGCTAATTGGCGGGGTCACTTGACTGTAAGATTCTTATGTGTAATTAAATAAACAGCCAGATGTCTGATAACAAGAGTCACATGCAAAGAAAACAAAGAAACATCTTATCGCTCTCTGTAGTTACGTGTAGATGTGCTTAAACTGTATTATCGAACTTTCGCCCACGCCTAACCTAGTCTTATTTCCTAATACCTGTCCACATAGCTTAGTTTCTTCGTGAGAATAGTTTGAAAAAGATATTTTAGCTTGTTTTTTTATGAACAATGTCTTCGTATTTTAGATAAGCAAGTATTGGTTATATTAATGTTATATATATTATTATGTTTAAATCCCTTATCAAAGGAACAGTAAAAGCCTCATAAAAAACAATACAATGATCTTTCGCTAATGAGTTAAAAAGTGGATTATCTTACGGTAATAACAAATTCTGCATTGAAAAGAGTGATTTTCTCACGACCAAAAGAACGGTATATTCCTATATCAACAATGAAAGCCGGCTGTCACTAATGTTTCATGTTTCTTGTATATGAAATACTGGTGTTATCATTTCTACAACAGCCAACTTAAATGCATAACAATTTTAAGTTATCGCCGATAGTTCGTCAAATTAAAATTCGAAGGACGTTTTTCTTGTTTTATCACTTGAATACTTTCTAATTAAATGGAAATTAGCGCCGCCATTTTTAAATAATTATTGATAATTTGTTTCTTTCACACCGTATACACAATTCGACGGAAGATTGTTAGGTAATTAATTATTATCATTCATCGTTGTTTTAAAAACCTTTTCTTTAACGCTTCACATTTCCACTGCAAAGGCTTGGCCGGATTTTTCCTAAATTTCCAATTACAAATTCCTCTAAATTCTTTGAAAAGAGAGAGAGGCCAACAGTCTTCTCGCTCTGATATAAAAAGATGAGTGAAACGTACTGTGTTGTGAAGCAAAAGATATCTTCCGTCTCACTCGAGTCTCCAACTAAACAATATGTGCATTTAAATAATTCATTGCAGACACATTGTTGTTTAACAATGAGTAAAGTACTGTTTACTAATATGGCCCTTTAACAGTTGTGTTACCTTTGCTATGGGTTAGTGGGGACAAATAAACAAGGATTGCGTCAGCTTGGCAACGAGAAATATTCGGCATTAAGATCGGTTGTTTACGGAATTTCTTTATCTTTCTGCTTAACTTATACAGTTCAACGTTACGGGTTAAATACATAGCATAATATTTTTAAAGAAGAAATGACTACGTACAATATTAGGTTTTTGTTGTTGTGTAAGGCTCTCTTTTCTTCTGTAAGAATGTGTAACACATAGGTAAATAAATATACAAGTTACTCAAAACTACTTCAAAATTAATTTTATTAAAGCTATCTTATCATGTCCGTCCTTAACAAACTTTGATAATAAAAATGACTTAAGTAACGCTTACATTCACGAGTCTAATCAATGAGTTGGTTTGCTGCGCTGGCGCAAGTTACGTCATAGCTTTCGCTGCACCGCTGTTTGCGAAATATGAGCCTTATGCAACAAGGTGATACGCAAATTCATCACTCGTAAAATGTATCTTCCACTGTTTATGAATACAAGATAGTTGTTGCCATTTGATAACTTCATCTTCGTTTATATATCTGTATTCTGTACAACTATCCAAACGTACATAATATATGACTCTAGATACGCTTCAAATTCGATGCTTCAAATGTGTACTTGACAACATGATTTTTAAACTGGCATGTTAAATTATAGGAGTTTCTCGTTATTTAATATTACATTTGTCCCTATAAAAGTTGTAAATGTATGTATTTATATCAGCCAAGTCGTTAGGGTGTAAAAAAGATATAAACATCCATACATATTACAAAAATGCGTTGTTATTAGTAAGCTTAAAAGGGAAAGC